CTCTCCTGAAGCTGCTGCCCCCGCGACCCGAACCCCGGATAAGCGGCAGATAATGGATGGATGGATGGATGGATGGATGGATGGATATTCAGAGTCCAGTCTAACCTGTGGGTTGTAATAGACTTGGTGATAAATAATGATGATTCAGATACAACACTATATAAATATTGTACGTGCAATGTTGTTGAAGCACTATGCTTTGCAGGTCAGTGCCAAACTTTAGTGGGTTAGTCACTGCCACAGTACAACAAAATACAGCTGCATAGACCTGTGCTGTTATACACGATATGAACAGTCAGGTTTACACTGAAGCTAAATTCAATGATTTTGTCATATAATATACAAAATTGTTTTGCAGTCTTATTATTTTAGTAAAGTAAAATTAAATTTTTATTGATTATTTTTTATCTAACAGATTATCTTCCAGTCAAAACAAAATGATCTTTGATAAACCAAAAATCTGGAAATGTGTCAGACATGTTTTACAGCTTTGGGAGGCTGACAGCTCCATTGGAAAAAGGCTCAGCAGATATGGATGGTTTGTTAATCTGTGTTTGTTTTAACAGGACAACTTCTGTCAGGCTGCTTATGTTAAATAAATCACAACTCCCTCTGTGAAGAGATGAACTATGTAATACCTGTTTGTTTTTTTTTTATTTCAGGGCAAAGGTGACACAGCAGAGACTGAATCCTGGCTCACCTGTTACTCTGCTCTTTGCTGCATCCTTGTCTGTCCCAGTCTGACAAGGAAAAGGACAGAAGACCAGGATGGTACTGCAGCTCTCTCGACTGCACTGATCTATCTGCAGATTCAGCTTCTTCATGAAAGTGTCATGGAGATTTGAAGTTTTTCCATTAATGTGTACTTTCACTGCTGAAGATGAGTGGAATTTAAAAAAATGAGTTACAGTTATCAAGAATGGAAAAATACAGATGAAAACTGACAGACAGATATAAAACTCAGAAGTACTGGACAACTGAGTTAAGGAATATTTCAACTGGTTTGGGAGAAACTGGGAGAACACTCCAGGCAAAGGAAACCCTGAAAGTTCTGTAAAATATTTCCCATCTTGGGTTAGTTGTAATACAGAGGCAACAATTTATTTAGACAGTTATGCAGGGAGTGATTGGGAAGAATATTATGCATAGAAAATTATACATGGACATGTATAAAGTGGATTCGGCTAGGTCCACAGAGCAGTGACCCCTAGTGGCCACCCTACAGCAGGAACTGAATTTTATTTAAACTTTTCTCTCTACATAAGACCAGTCATATTAACCTTCTGGCAGTGGCACAGTGGACAGCATGAAGTGCTATCATTGTTTCCAGCTGTAACGCTGGATTGCAGTATGTACCCCTGCAGTCTGAATTCAATGTTTTCCACCTGACAGGAATTATAAGTTACAAAAACAAAGTGCAAAATTTCCTCCATACTGCAGCATTGCCTTCCACTGCCGGTACGTATTTTAGGATGAGCAGATATAATGCAGTATGAATATAGTGTACAGATTGTGTTCATGGCCATCTGTCCCCTGGCTTTAGAGGACACTATCTGTCTGCATGTAGAGCTCACTCAGACCCCAAGATACCCTTTACCTCCACAGGGGCCAGTGGAATGTTCCAATGCTGGTACAAACACCTGCTGATGCAATTCTTTCTCCTCACCAGCAGGATCAGTGACGTTCCTAAGAAGCTCGCTGTCATTCGCGATGTGTGACCTTTTGCCATCCTGGGCAGCCATCTGCTTCTCCTCTAAATCCACATTGGTGTGATCAACATTGGACTGTGGGGCCTCCGGAGCAAGACCTTCACACAAGATCATTAGACATGGGTAAGAACATACATAATAACATCCCTGTGCTGTAGGATCAGATTCATTCTTCTCTCCCGCATGATCAGTGCCCATCCCAGGAATACTGTTGTCATTATTATCATTATTCTTCCTATTATTATTATTATTAGATCACTGTAGTAGTAGTGATCCCATTACTTATTATATGTATCTTTGTAGACATTATGCACATGTACAGTGTCTGTATGCATGTAGAGTTCACTCAGGCCCCAAGACACCCTTTACCTCCAGAGTAGCCGGTGGAATGTTCCATTGGTGATACAGTCATCCTCTGTTCAGATTCACTCCCCTCATCTACTGGCTTGGGGCCTCCCCTGTGAAGCTCACTGTCTTTAGTGATGTTTAGTGTCTTTGCATTCTTAGTAGCCATTGGCTGCTGCTCCGTATCCTGTTGTGTGCAAGTAATGCTGGACTGTGGGACCTCAGCTTGTGAGTCAGCATAGCTGCAGAGTAAATGTAATAAAAATCTATGTCTGTGTAGTGACATTGTAATATATAATCTCCTGATAGTTACTGTTCACCTTAGAAATTATTTCACATATATATATATCATATGTAATATGATTTTTCAATCATATTACATATGATTGGAAAATTAAACAGAAAAATTGAATGTAACATTTTGAAAGTACTTTTGTATGCATGTTATATATTATATTCTATATAATATATATATAAAATATAATAAAA